CAAGTCGAAACATGTTCCGTAGGAAGAATCTGTGCGTCTAGTTTTGTCATACGCTTATCGGAGATTGTGAGGATGGGTTTGAAATTTACTGGACACCTCTTTGGCAAATAGTCATAAAGGACTAGTGGCTTCCTTCGCAAAGACAGACTCACTGACGGTTTGACGACGCGAATTAGTAATCCCCATCTCTGTTCGTGCTATTTGCATTCCAGTGCACGAGGTTCGTTTTGGAACAAGCATTCTTAGGATAGCGAGATTAATTCCATGGCTATCACTTCCTATAAACTGCATTCCAGAGGGTTTATTGTGTTTTAATGGATTCCACCTCATTTTCAAAAGCTATTGACAGATAAAAGTCGACTTGACACTTGAACTTGATGTTCAGCTTTGTTTCTCACGTATGCTGGACTTGTTCCTTGTAAAATGCTGCTAAGATGTACCTAGTAGATGAGCTAATACGAGGAACGTACGTTCCTATTAAAACAGCACGCCCAAAGCTACTAAGTTCATGTATGTCAAAGTGAGGTGTGGTAGATGAATGTGTTGTTAAAATTTGCACTCACTGTTATTGGTAGGGACATGGTGAAAACGCTCCCGCAGTTTTCCAAAAAATAGAAGTGTAAGGGTGTTGTGTATACTAAGTGACTATCGTTTAGTGCTTGAGATCGCGCCTTATAGTCCTAATTCATGTGATGTAATCAGTCAGTTGGTTGCATCTTATTTTTCCCTACCATCCTAATGCTGCCGTTCTACAGAAGATCTCAGTAGCGGCGCTTAACCTAAAGCATCAGACACAAGGACCTACGCTTTCTTTCAGTTGGGGATCTTAGGATGTTATTCTCGAAGTGATAGTTATTTTTGCTCTGTGGCTGACAATCTAACAGATAAGGTCTGAGTTAAAAGTTGAGGTTTCCTGCTGTCTGCTAAGCAGTTTATTGAGCGACGCTACAAATGCGCTGCGTGGAGTTGAGTGAATTCGATCCTCAGGAGTTAAAGGGCCTGAACTTTTGGAAATACTTCGACTTTGCGATTAGCCTAAAGGTATACCATTCTTACAACCAGATGCATTTTATTTTAAATAGTTAAAAATCATGGGGGAGGATGCTTCCATCGTAAAGCTGAAGGTACCAGCTTGTAAAAGATATCTGATCAAATCCGAACTCGCGTATTTGAAAACGTCCCTCTAAATACTTGCTTTTATTCTGCCGTTTAACCCCTGATGTTTTACCCTGCCTTTCCACTTCAGTTGCATAAATAATGATAATTGCATGCGTAAAAGTAGGCATCGTCAGTCGCACGAGGAGGTAAGCTGGTTCATTTGTACTGTATGCTCTGAATGGCAACACATCTTGCGATTTCAAACGAACCTTGTCGAGTATGCCAAGGCTAACCAATGTTCATCCAAAAGATATTTTTCTACATGGTTTGCATTTACTGGCGAAACTAAATATGGAGTTCTTTGCAAGGTAATTTAGTTCGGGTTATCTAACACGAGGATTGTGGAATATGTAGATGCCAAAATGATTTGGAATATTGGTAGCTCGGGGGGCTTGCTAAGTTTTTGTGGAGTTCTCCGAGCTGGGCAACTTGGTTGCAAACGTTTCGCCACCATTCGAGGTGGCATCTTCAGTGCGGGATCGATAGCAGTTAAGTAGTAGTAGCTGGCAGAAAACAAACCCCATAATGGATCAAGAATGGATGGCGAAACGTTTGCAACCAAGTTGCCCAGCTCGGAGAACTCCACAACAACTGATGTAGATGCCAATTACCCAAGTAGCTTTCTGTTCTAACTTGGATTTGCGTTTTGGTGTAATTATCCATTTTTATGGTCACTGACTTTGTTAATTGGCTCAAGTGTCAGATCAAGTGAGCAGACTTCGCATATGTTTTGGTAACTGGTCGCTTATGCTTACCTGTGCGAGTATTCCCGGAAAAATCAGGACTTGATCATACATTAACACTTTGAGGTCCCATTTCTGGACATCGATTACGTGAATGTCAGCAAAGCTCTGATAACACGACCAAATGATAACCCCATATTGAAAAGATTTTCATAATGTGTTGTCCATCAATCTACATGTTTGCCGAAGTGCATACTGTTAGTGGGAGACAGGTGGAGCGACACGAGTTGTAGTGATGCAGCAATGGCCAGCGAAAGAGAACATTAGCAATGGTGGTAGAAGCGTTATCAAAAATGAAGGTATACTTGTACGAGGTATAGATAATTATGATAATACTTAACAGGAAATACTGAATGTTGAAAACCAATAACTGTGGGATGTATAAGCTGTTTGTAGATTACATGAAAGGGATAAAATTGTTATCTCTATGCTTTCATGACTGAGGATAAATTATGGGCCATTTGTAGAGCCCATAAAGAGCGACGTTGTAGCGTAAAGCATGGTAAGCGTTTACATGTTCAAGACAGAGACATCGACATCAGACGCCACTGCACCAGGTACTTAGCCCGCATACTATTCCCAGATGCTCACAAAAGTCCCTAGCGGTTTGTCTCATTTGGGTTGCTTTCAATTAGTGTGTTGGGCGAATATCGAATGTGTTTGAGAGCCTTTCAAACACAATAAAACCTACCAGGTCGTTGTGTTCGGAATCAGCGTACATGCGTCCAAACTCACCACTTAGCTTAAAAGTCACGGATAGCTAAATGGCTATGTGCCCCACATTTTCTAATAAAACCTTCCACCTAGCAGTACGGCATTAACGCTATCTGACGTGTCTAACGTGTCATCACAGGACCACGTGTATGCTCACAGGTAACTCCACATGCGGAAGTGCATCGTAAGTACTGATAGGTAACATTACATAATAAATACGAATAAGTAAATACAGAACGCATCTTTATGGACTTGCAATTATTGCACCATTCGCAAAGCCCTATAAAGAAATCGGTTTTATCTCTGCCAAGGAGTCGCATCGTTTATAGTGAACAAATAGAGGCAGGTTGTCCAGTGTTAGTCGCTGTTGTATTAGACCAAAAAAGAGGCAAACTCGAACGGAATAGCTGTCAAAAAACAAGTCTACTATAAGGTGCAAACTGAGAGTTACGCCATCGAGTATCCCACAGAGTACTCTTAGAAAACCATCACCTCCATGGCAAAGCAAACGAGTATTGTCCGTATCACCAATTCTTCCCACCGCTCTAACATATTCTATAAACGAACTGGGTTCATTCAATTGACCGTTTTCCACAACTCAAAATATATAGCCGTTTACATGACCACTGACTGTTGGTATCAACCTCCTCGAGGAAGACCATTACATGTGCTCGACTGCCTATAGCCCCGAGTGTGTAACTATTAACAACAATAGAGATGCAAAATGAGTGAGATATTTTCTATAGCCCGAGTCACCGAATCTCACTAAAACTAGTGTTCCCAGAGCCCTTAAACGATGGAACACCGCGGGTCCAACAGCGCGTTAGAATGCTTGGTAGCAGAAATCCCATTACAAACAGCCTGTCGCAAGTTTCCCTTGCACGGCTAATTTGTTTCTAGATGACACGCCCAAAACTTTGTCATTGCGCCTCATTCCTATCCTGTCATGCTGCCATAGCGTGCAACAAATTGTCGTCGTCTAATCTTTGTGTTATTCGCACCGAATGATTTGGTTGAGTTGAGTATCCGAAACAAATATTTTGAGAAGAAGCATTGTATCGTTTATTAGGCAGAACTCCACGACTTTGCCTCCTCATGTTGATGATAATAAGTGCATTTTAGTGACCTGATCACTCATTTCATCTGTTCTGCTACAGTTTGTCGTGAACTGTGTTACACCAATACAGATAGAGAACGATTAAATCAACTGCAAACACTTGCAGTGTTCCAGAATTTGCATATAGTACAACTTAACTTAATTGTGTCACCCCGACGAACGCGTAATAGATCTATGTGCCTTATTGATTGGAGGGTCATTTTGAAGTACACATTGTGTGACGCGCAATCTCAACGTGGATCGTGATTCGCATTGTAATGAACCTTGGTCAATTCGATCACTAGGGGCCGTAGCTGTGCCTTCGTTTTTAAACTACCTTGCGTATGATCATGAAGTGAGACGTATCCTAATCGTTGTTTAGACATGCAACTTTGCCAACTGTGCATCATGCGTAAGGTAACGAATAGCTCGGAAGGCTATCGAATCAGTTATTGGTGCTGATCCATCTATGCTAGGAGCCCCGCGAGGAACCAGTCCCTATGTACTCACTACAAGTGAGAATTCATACAGTTGTCTATTAATAGATAAATGAATAAATAACGTTTTTTTCCTGACTGTTTAAGACACACCAATAGAGGCAGACGGGCGCATTTACCATCACTGCCATACAACAGTTCGTGAATTGCTCACTGTTTCATTAGCAATAAGGTAAAGCGTCAGATTCTGTCATTTTGTGTGGTTGAACAGAGGAACTGAGAGATAGATGAGATATTTGTGTTTGGCCTAAATTATAAATACCATGCCTTTTCAAGGTTACAGGTGCAGTAGACTGGTTGGTACATGCAGTTTTCTCAATACACTTGTTCCACACGCTCAATACACCATCACACAATGTGTGCTGGTGAGTTACTTCATCTAGAGGAGGTGTTTTGATGAGACAATTGTAAAATGACCGAATGATAACTCATCAGTCAGGCACGCAGTGCACGTAATAACACTGCGAATGAGGATGGCTCAACTATTCCATGTCGTGCCTCTATGCTCCGGTGAAGCTGAAGTTGAACATTTCCGAGAAGTCACCAAGTTATCACACACTCCTAGTGATTGTTCACTCAGTGCATCGATTTGCGTACGGGTGTGTCAATTAGGTGTCAAGCTATTTGTAGTTCTGCTTGTCATTTGATAATCAATTGCCGACGGTAAAGCGACTGACTTCCTTGTTACCCCATTCTTTTCAGAATAAGAAGGTAGAGATATTTGCGTTGTTGGTAAAATCATATCGCAATCCTGGTAACTATATTTTATTCCCATTCTACATCAATCAATAGGTGCCATAGCTGTGATCAGCCTATTGACCGGTGATTTTCTTGATAAGAAGGTTCAAGGTATGCCTTCGCATGCAGGTCAGTGATTTCTTTCGTTCCTTGATTATAAATGTTAAACTAGCCATGACGCATTTGTGTTCTTCGTTAGTGGTTTACCTACCTGAAACTTTATTGCCATTTGGTATTTACTGCTACATTCACAATAGCTTCAACAACATATATAAAAACAATGATTAACAACTTTTATGAGTTTTCGGCAATTGGAGCTTTTTGTCCTCATAAGTGATATTCGGCATACTCCAGTTAATGGAGCCACTACTTTAACAGTATGCCTTGTTCTACTCTGTATACCTTTCTCGTTGATGTCATCAATCACAAAACAAGACATGTTCAATGACAATGGATCGTCAACCGCATCTCCGTCTTCAGAGATGCTTCGCGTAAAATTTGCTCCTGCGATGGCCGCAGCCGTTGGACTCACTCAGGTATGTCATCTCAAGTTTGACTGTTTCTCTTCAGTTTCATGTAATACTACTTTCTTATGCCCTGCATTCTGACTAAATGATCTACCGACATATACTACGTTTTTCTTAATCCGCTATCAAACAGGCTTTCCAGTGATTTGAGGAATATGTGAAATTGTTGTTAGCCGAAACTGGACATCAATTTTCCTTGCAGGTGATAATGGGAGTTTTGAAACTTGGCAGTATGACCCGGTACTTATCGAGCCCCATGGTATCTGGGTTCACGGTCGGAGTAGCGGTCCATGTGCTTACGTCTCAGGTGCGAACGTTACTGGGGGTAACCTCTCCCAAACCGAACGGTCTGTTTGCAATCCCAAGAGTGAGTACTTTATGCAGCCAAAGAGGTTGTTCTCTTAAATGGTGCTATTTCACAGACAGACCCGAGTTCGTCATTTACCTTTGCTATCAGATGTACTATGAACTGTTCAGAAATATTACAACCACAAACGTCGTAACCGTTGGACTCTCAGCAGTATGCATAACAGTGCTGGCAATCGTCAAGACATGGATCAACCCGAAGGTTACAAAAAGAATCCGGATCCCGATCCCAATCGACCTCATTACAGTAAGAGGCAAAAGTTTTACGCTATCCTGGTTACAACATACAGCAATCTCTTCAGTTTTGGGACTTTCAGAATTGTGAAACGTGCTGGAAATTCTTTTCCACGTGTAGCGCAGAATCAGTTAGTCGCTAAAATGTTACTGACGCTAAAAGTTACTGATCAGTAGATTGACTCTTAGTGTTAGTACATCCCTGAAGTCGCGAAGATGTCGCCTACTAGATTTACTAGCAGGAAACAGATGATTGCCAGTGTCCAATTCCAAGACTTGATACGCTGCTTGGTGCATATCCAAGCTACCGGAAATTAGGAATTACACCGGGTTAACCATCAAGCCGGCACAGTTAGTTGAATGAGTTTACAGGCATCCTTCGGTCAGACAATATTCATGGTTATCCAGAATCCTGTTCTACATAGCTGGACATAGCCAGATATCCATCACGCCACCTTCTGTGATTACTCAAAGGAGGCCATCAACTTAAACCAAGAATGAACTAAAATCCATTTCTGTTGCTGAGGAGAGAACGGTTGCGCTTCAGAACCACCTCAGACACTCGAAACTCAGTATTGGGGGCCGTAGATCCTCTGTGATTACTCAGGCTAATCTAGTGCAGAAGGCAGGATCGCCTCGAAAGATTTGTCAATCATCGAACTATTGATTGGTCTATAGTTTAAGAAGTTGGGATAAGCAGGAAATTTTTATTTCGGGACAGTAACTTAAAGGAATGAAGGCTATGGGCTATGCGATTGACCATTCTTTGGAAGATGTAAGAAAAACCCGGCTTACAAACAACAGTGTGGTTCCCCAGAATGTGAAAACATGCATTAAAGCTTTAAGTCAAATTAGAGCAACTGAGCATCCATAAATATTTACTTGGTCGATTTACTTCATCGGCTGGACAGATGCTTCCGCTCATGGTGCTATTATTTTCACACGTGTTGTACGCTACAGAAGTAAAATGATGCTGTTTACCGCACTAATCAATTCCGTTTTCGTTCATCTGTTTTGTTCATTAGCGGCTAGCAAATTTTATCCATTGTGTTGCGCTGCCCAGTTCGTATCAACTGGTGTACTTTGTAGACAACCAGTCAACACCGCTGTTCATTTGTGGATTAGTTTGAAACGGTCTTTGTGTTGAAAGTCGCGTTGCATTGTTCTCTTAACTTCAAGTATGTTGGGTCAATTCAGTTTCCGTACGCCTGGCCTTCCCTAGTCTGAGCCACTAGGCATCGTCGCCTAATACTAGAGGACAATATTCCCCTAAACCATAGTAGTAACGAAAACCGTTTACTGAGTATAATGCGACAAAAAATACACTTACCGTAGACCGGCAGAAAAAACATTCCTACATGTGTTGCTTTACGGACACTTGTTTGCGTCGCTTTTGTCTAAAAGAGTCAAGAGTTATGACAAATCAGTATGCAGAAATAATGTACTAATTAACGAAGGTGTCCGTATTTTATCGTTCGTAGCTAATCCTGGCAACAGTGACATCAGACCGTCTGGAACTGAATCACAAATACAACGTCAGTGTGGTTGGTGAAATCAGCAGGGGGTGAGTCTTTGGGCAACATATTTTCCATTCTCTACCGTCGGATAGGTCCCTTTTAGTATACTGTGTACCGAAGACGGCAATTTGGAATGAAACGCCATTTTAAAAACCTTTGGCACTAACTTAGAGCGAAAATTTGGAGGCTAATAAGGTCGTTATTTCTTTTCAGGGAATAATGGGACAATGTTATATACCCGATAAAAGTACGAACACCTGGAAGATCCCACAACATGACGGAGATAAAAACAGATAGCTTAAACAGTGGTGTGTCCATAAAATTATGTCCGCACAGCTGAACACACTGAATTACTCACATGACAGTACGTAAAAACTGAGAAGACACCGGTTAGTTGCGTTACGGAACAATGAAACAATGCTTTTAGACGGGTTAAAAAGCTATTGCTCAAGCGATCCCGTAGGATGCTTATGGTAAAGCTCCAAAATATAGCTTTTTTATAGAAAATTGGGTCTACATCGGTGAACTAGCTGAGGTATATATACTACAAGCTGTAAATCCAAGATAAATCCATAAGGAATAACGGCAAGTGGGATGTTGGTAAAAATCGCGTCTCCTTCTTGTTTACACCTACAGGAGATGAAAAACGTGGAACGAAATCTGAGATTTTACCGCCAGTGAAATCTGTTACAGACACTTGTGTTTATCCATGCGTAATGGGTCATGTAAAATGGTGCTGCGAAATAAGTGCACGGTCAACCCTGGATTTAAACTCTGCCAGTGTGGGAGCATACATGACAGATTCCGGTAGGGCATTCCACGTACGGTAAACGTGTACGGAAAAGAAATTCCGATGGTATTCCAAACGATTTTGCTGCTCTGCTAGCTAGACATGGTGGCCTCTCAAATTCCTGTTGTGACTGGGCACTGGAAACTAGCAGCACGTGTCGTTAGGAAGTAGCAGCACCCACAAGTTAACAAAAAAGGCAATGCGAATGGCAAACTGTTTAGTCAAGCTGATTTAAAATATTTTTAACGGCGCAAATATCAACTAAGCTGCGAGAGCGCTCTGGTTATGGGAACCGAACGTCCCTACAAGACCTCAGGTGGAATCACGCAAGACCAGTGTAAGTTTCCGTTAGCCTCAGACACATTTCCAGTCAAACCCCATCAGATCATCTTTCATTATTAACCCTTGCTTATTTCACATATTGTTACCAATTTCCTCGCTTTTACTTAACGACATTCGTTTTTCGTTAATAGTCCAAACGTCAAGTGCTTAACTAGGTCTTGCTTACCATTTTCCATTAAAATCTCATTTCACCAGTCGTTGTATTTAAGCAATGCCGGATTACGCTGTGATTTCTTGGTCTGACTAATAAAGTGCCAGGAGCGAAGGGTTTGTCTTGAGTTCTTATCTCTATGCCATCGCAACGAGACTGGACCTTAGCGTGGGACGATGGTTTGCGTACCTCCTTGACCCACTGAGTTATGCTGGTAGCTATTTTCCAAGTGCCTTCAGAGTAACTCATACCAGACAGGTCAATAACTACGGTCAGACTAACTCAGTCTCACAATCCAATCCTCTTCGGATGTTCTGGAGAGGTCGATGGCCCTCTTCCTTACAAAGCTAGTCATGGGCGAGAACAGCTCTACGGGTTATAAGCTCACTGCTCGATTGGCGTGTTGCACGAGCGCCACGCATTGTCTCTGGCAGTGAGAGTGCGCCTCTCAGAGCTCAATAGTTTGCTATCGCCCGCCTTAAGCAAGGCACCCCCTGGTCAAATTGGTGCAAACTCGTCAACTCACACCCGCGACTGGCGTGGTCGCAGGTGCGCAAGGTAATACGGATGTAAAACAAAGGTGTATTGTTCGAAATCTTCAAAGACTGTGTGTAGCAGGCCTGAAGCAGATCCCAATGAGTCTCTGCAATCACACTCCAGAGCTGTATCTGTTCCCCACTGCCTTGTGGATCAGGCTACTGATCCGAAGACTCCGTGTGGAGTCCCTCAAACGAACCTCCAAACCACTCACTGCCTTATGAATCAGACTGTTGAGTCAAAGGTTGGAGTTATGGCACCTTGAACAAAACCCCTCTCTCTGAATGGGCAGCCAGAGAGTGTCATCTGCTCGCTCGACTCCAACAACAATACTGCATCTTCATATTTTTCTATAATATATCAGCTCTCTTCTGCTCTGTCTGTTGAGTAAGAATCTGCCGATGACATCGCTGCCTCTGCCATGAATACTGGTAACGGGTCCACCAAACCACGAGTCACCTTTCACATTGGTTCTTTTAACCTCCGCACTCTGATCAGATCGGCCAACAGACAGCACTAAGTCTCATTCCTGTGTGCTGTCTCCGAAACACGCTACAAGATAACTGTCGTGAGGAATCTTCGACTCCCTGGTTCTGAATCTGACGAAGATGGCTTTACTTTTCGCGTCTCTAGTGATACTGAGTCAATGGCTCAAGGCATTTACGGAATTGGTATAGCTCTCAGCAAACTTGCTGAAGGCAATCTGCTCGACTGAATACAGGTGAACAGCCGCCTGCGTGCGGTTCAACTTCGATCTACTATGCGAGTAACTAAGCACCGTCAGAAGACAAGGGGCCTTTTCATCGCGTCCGTGAATGCAGTTCAGATGGTATCAAAGATTATTTCTATCAGCAGCTTTCATTTCTTCTTCGTATGGCGAGGCATATTGACATCGTGATTGTTGCAGGTGACATGGATGCCCAATGGGTCGTCTCTCAGATTATGAACAACAGCTGGGCGGCCGCTTCGGAGTTAACGCACGCCGAACAAACAATGGTGATCGATTCCTGTAACTGTGCGCCGATCACAACCTTTACCTTTGCGGCACAGATTTCTAGCACAAACGGTCACATCACGTCACCTGGCGCCCCCCGAATTACTCAATCACATGGATCCAACTTGACCATATTGCCATCAGTCACAGATGGCGCCCATCAGTCGGTCAAGTCGGTGTACGTGGCCGGACTATGACCACGGTTAGTGCGCGCACACTCGGCGCTCACTCTTCCCGCTTCTGAGCTTATCTTCTAACTTTCTTGCGTGCAACTTGAAATCGCAATCTGCATTTCAACAATATCATGACGAACAGGCCCACCAATTGGCATTGGTGAATGGCGTTGTTAAGCTGAACGCTGACTGGGCTCGTCGCAAATGTGCCATGAAGAATGCCTTCGACGCATGCTGTGCAGCCTAATTGAGACGTAACGGTGAATAGAAACTTCAGGCATCGAGCAGCTTGCTCAAAGCACGAAAACAGGTTCCCATGAGCACTGAGTTTCAGCGTGTCCTTAACTCCATGTAATGATGTCTGACCAGGAGTCAGCGAATCGACGGGGAATGTTGATGGGTGGCACTGTACCATGAGATGAAGAAAACCAGTGCTTAATTGTGGATGTTTGTGAGTAGTGTAAAGTTCGTAGAAAGTGGAAGTCACGATTAACATTCGCACACAACAATGTGCCTCGACGGGGAATCGAACCCCGGTCCAACGAATTTCCGGTCCGCTGCTCTACCACTGAGCTACGGAGGGCTGACGATTAGATGCGCAATTTTTAATACATGACTTCTGCTTGGTGCGGGACGTATTGCCGGGGTTCGTTTCCCCCGCGAGGCACATTATTGTGTGCGAATTTTAGTCGTGACTTCTACTTTCTACGAACTAAAAACCAGTGCTATTGGGAACAGCGGAGTGCTATTCCATCTCATTCGAAACACGGGTCTGTCAAAGGCGACAGTTATGGAGACGATATCTGAGAATGATGGGCATTTGATTCACTCTCAACCTCGTCGACTACCTTATTGGGCGGAACATTTTGAGGCTCAGTTCAACAGGCCTGCTGCGACACTACCTCTTGCGGAATCACCTGAGCCGACGTGGGAAGTAGATGTCACACCTCACATTTTGGAAGAGTTTCGACATGAGTTTTCCGTGTGGAAAAAATATAGCTCCGGGACCCGACGACGTTCCTCCAATTTTGCTAAAAGATGACAGTGACCCTTAGTTGAGTGGATTCGATTTTCCTTTTCACACGATTTGGAACACTTAAGTGGTGCCTGCGGACTGACGACTATCAACTATCATGTCCGTCTTCAAGAAGGGTCAGCGTGTTTTGTGTGCAAATCATCGACTCATTAGCTTTGTTTCCGTTGCCTCCAAACATCTCACGGGCATCACTCTCAAACGGCTTACTGGTCCTGGTGAGGACCAAACCACTGAAAGCCAGGCCTTCGCCCTGATCGTGGATGTATCGACCAAATAGTTACCTTTCGCCAAGTTTTGAAGCAGAGGCACACATACAGAAGATAGACTATGGTGATTTTCCTTGACTTGAAAGCTGCCTTCGACTCTGTTGACGGCACCAGCTTGTGACACTGCCTATCCTCGAAGGGCGTGCCGACTAAATTCGCTGCATTATGGAGTCTGTCTACCGTGAATCCCGTGGCCGTGTGAGGGTCTACGGGAAACTATCCGAAGTTTCCACGACAAATAGGGTTCGCCAGGGTTATTCGATATCGCCTCTGCTCTTAAACTTTGTGATTGAAATGATCAATAATGACTCGGTTCTTTCAGACTATGCTGGAGTTAAAGTTCTACCAGGCGACCGACTGACAGACCTGGAGTATGCGGTCGACATAGTTCTCATTGGGTTTGATGCAGTGGCGATGCAAACACTATTGGATAGACTGACGCGTAACACTGCACGCTTCGGTATGTGCTTTGCAGCATCAAATTTAAAGTACTGTTGCAGAACTAGACCGATACACCTCGGGTGCTTGCGAAGTATTGCTCACGTCTGCTGGTGACACTGCATGAGTAATGCCAAGGTCCGCAAGTCGGTTTTTGGAAAGTAACGTTCTGGTGCTTCACTCGAGTGTTTGCTGAATCTTAATCGCTTACTTCGGCTAGACCACATCCTCCGTATACCCCTTTAGTGGCTTCCTCGGCGTGCATTAAACGCCGTGGTTGCATCAAGTTGGACGAAGCCGTGAAGCAGCCAGTCCAAGAC